ATAGCATTGAATTAAGGTACATCAAAATTACAACAACCAAAAGTGAAATTATCATATGAAAGAAAACGTTCTGAAATGGATGATACAAAATGTCATTACCTAAAAAGAAAAGACAAAACATTAAGAACAATATTTGAGTCAGTATAAAACATATTTAGTTCTTGCCTGATTCATTTTGTCCTGGTTCGCCCTTATTGCCTTGTTCACCTTTAGGGCCGGTGTTACCTGTGACAACATAATTACAATAGGTCATTACACATACCATAACGACAAAATAAGAACTCAAAGTCGATGAAGACAATACTAGGAAGTGAGGAGACACCACAATCAAACAAAAATAAACATGACGATTCCTTAAAAAGCCTAGATACACTGTTCCTGCGTTGTGTGACACTGACATCATATGATAGACACTAATAATCTTAAACGCGCGATCACATTCAGAAAGTCTCGAAACTAAGAGCAGAATATCAAGTAGCTAATCGTGCGTGAATGATTATACCCGCGTATAGGTGTCACATAAAACGGAAAAAGCACAGTCAGTTCAAGAAATCAAAAGTTTTTTATAAATACTGTAAATTCCGTTCATTGGAAAATCAGTTTGTGATAGAGTGCCAATACCCTGTACAGTTACTTCTGGGCAGGGTTCAACATAATAGACCCAGAACTACGATATAAACCCACGTATCTAGTATTCTAAATATTCACGATGAAATACTATGTAATCTTAATTGAAAGAAGAATGTAACTAGTATGAATACGTAGGTCAAGTCGTTTTCGTACACAAGCCGGACGGAGATATTCAGTTATGCGTCGATAAGCACAGTGCAAATAAAGCTTTGATTCAGGAAATGCATTTAATAAAAAAAATGTACCGAAAGTAGGGGAATTATTGCAGGACAGGTACCAGGGTGAGGTATTTTCTAAACCTGAAATTATCTCGCTTTTTGTTGCGCGCGCGGAATAATAAAAATGAAAAAAGTACTACGACACGTATGATTACAAGTGACTCTGGTCTGGAAATAACTGTGTTCCTCAGCTAAACAGTTATACATTTAAACAAAAAGACAGTCCAGAGATGATGTGCATTTACGTAGGCATTGCAGAATGACCACAACCAGAATATAAATACATTCTACAAAACTTTGAGCGGAATGGGGATGACCCTTAGCTAGAATAACGCTAGAGTTCAGGGGACAAATACTGTCTGGGCATTGACATTGGCCTAGATAAGCCTTTGGTTGTTGTGAACACGAGACGACAATCCAGATATAATATATATTCAAACACTACAGTCATATAGATAATATTATAGTGATTTTAATAGCTTACATTTTTGTTTAAACGGCAATGCGAGAATCCACATTAGTATCGATTATCAAACACAATACGGGTTAGTATTATATGTATTTTCTGGTGCTTATATGAATACGTGTTTTGTTTATGTTTAGTGATTATAATACTGTTGTATATGTAAACATGTCTGGATGTGTGTGCTGTGTGTGAAATGTGATAGTACGTTCTTGTTCTGTAGATATCCAATACTCTATGTACAAATGTTTTATTTCCCAATCAAATTTCTGAATGTTTTATTGATGAAATTGAAATGTTTGGATTTAGATAAAATTAGCAGAGAAAAATGAATGAGAGCCCTCCTGTGTGATGACACCATATTGTTTAGGGGACTGACTCCAGGGCTCCCCAACCCTGGCAGTTCCTACCAATTCATTTATATATATCTGTATATACTTATCAGTATTATATATATATATATATAATATTTGGCTGGGGGAAATAAAATATATGAAAAAAACAATTAAAAAAATTATCGATGTCCTTTCTACTTAATTCCACTCTGATCCTTTGTATTTTCTAATTCTTTGTTTGTAATTTTACTTCTAGTCTGGCCAGAATATTTTGTAAGTAAACGTACTACACTTACTCTTCTATTTCCCTTAATTTCCTGATTAACACTAAAAGACAAGCACAGTATTCAAATGTTACTGTCTCTAAATCAAAACCAATAACAGTATTCACCTGTTGGTCCTGCAGACCCATTGGAACCTGTATCGCCCTTTTAGTCCTGTACTCCCCCTGTCTCCCTTCATTCCTTGTTGCCCTGGAAAATTGTCAAAAGTAATCAGAAAAACCAGGATAAAATGTTAGTTATCATAAATATGCTTTAGTTTTCAGGTATCTTGGATTTCAAAATTCATTTGATGAGACTTTATTGAACAACATAACTTGTCTGTTCTCAACAAGTTGCAATGCGACCTTTAGTTTCGCTTATCAAATATCAATGGAAAACATGTAACAGTTTCTGTACATTAAGAGATAAATAGATATGTATATACAGGTGCTGGACACATTGCTATGATGTGTATACATGAGTGGGATTACGACTGTTTGCTTGAAAGGGGGAGAGTAATTCAGAAAGATGTAATTGATGATTTCCCCTGTACATTGTCGATATTGTGTGAAAACACGCAGTTTTCCAAGCAAAATCAAAGGATGTTCTAATGGACGAGGAACATTTTAGGATAGATATATTTCGACTTTAAGTAACGATATATTGATTAGAGGGAGGTGTTCGGGCATCAAACCAGTGGGTTTTTAATGAGTACATTAGGATCTTACGATCAGATCTAAAAGCAGTTTGGGTAGCAGCACTGCCGCTTTAGTTGTGTTTTTTGTGGGTTTCCTGACTCTAGTGTCCTGTTATACCTTTACTAGTATAAAGTGTACTTATATTACCCATAATATCAGTGTGTCGGATATTATGAGTAATATAATTACACTTTATACTAGTAAAGGTATAACAGGACACTAGAGTCAGGAAACCCACAAAAAAAAACACCTATGGATACATGTAATACTGACGAAGAACATAATGCAAGACAACATAATTGAATTCAGTACACGTACTTGTTATTGAATTATGATAATGCAACGCTGGCACAAATTCAACTTTGAACAGCAACAATATGATGACCATTTAACCAGTCTCCCACTACACAGCAATGTTTGTATGTATGAGCATTTAGATTATTATTATTTAATGAAAAACATCTCCTGTTCGCCTTTCACGTTTTATAATTATTTGTGTTCTACAAAGCCACCGTCATGATAAATTCACAGTCCCTATGGAGGGGCAAACATGAGATTTCGGCGCGCTGTTTCTTTTTGAATAGTTTTAATTGTCAGAAATTATCTCTGTCATTGAGATAAACTTCACGATTTATTTACTAGATCGAAATCTCTTACCACATGGTACTTTTATCGGTTTGGTAATTTTCTAGCAACGTATTCATGCGACTTTCTTAACTGTGCTTAGCTATACATACACTGTACACAACTAATTAAAATATTAGGAAAAACACGATAAAGCAAATTTAAGAGGCGTGTCCACAACGACTTTTGTAGCCGTATCTACATCTTGATTCTTCGGTATCAATTATGCACAGATCACGGGGGTTTGGGCTGGGGACATATCTTTAGCTTTGTTACGATTATGAAGGTCGAGTGTTCGATAATTTCCCTACAGATACCTTATGTTCTGGACGCAGGATAGACTTGTCGAAATGTTTTCAACGCTCATTCTTATAGTGTGATAATCAAGATATTACCATACGCGAAGCGTTGTAATAGAGTATGGTTTCAGTGATGATGATTACCGTCAAACCCATCATCTCCGTTAAATCCGGACAATCCAGGGTCTCCCTTAGGTCCACGTTCACCTTTGTCACCTTTCTGTCCTTGAATAACTGCAGAAAATGAAACAGGAAGAGAGCTTTGGTTTGTCTCTAGTAACATCGATATTTCTTTGTTATTGAGAGTTATGGAAAAGTCTTATTTATTTTAAAATAATAACATGCTTATTTTTAGAATAATTTTCATTATAAAATAACTTTAATCAAATCATCTAAGTCTCTTATAATTATAACATTTATGTATTGATTGTTTATTAATAAACTCAATTACATGTTAATGAACTATTTATTTGTTATGGCGTGCTCACTAACATTCCTTTTTACGTAATGGTTTGTCACTGCAGCGCTTCGTGACTGAATCGACTGGTGCTGGATTTGATCGACTGCATCGTCGTACCTAATTATGTTCGGTATATGGATTACTTGATATTTTTAAAACGTATAGAAATATAAGGATATATCTATATAAATATACGGCTTTATATGAATTTTGCTTTTCTTACAGAACAGGCACGTGTTTAAATTTCGTGTCATATCCAGTAATTATAAGATACGTTATGCGACAGTATATCATTTCTTGTTCTTTTCTGATTCTGTCAATTGTCAATGGTAATTCAGAAATAAATTGAATGAAAACTTATAAACTTTACTTCAGTGTTTTTAGTTCATCCAAAATTGTACTGTATTTGTGTGCTGCCGACGAATATCTCTGAACTCGATCGGCGCCGATTTGTTGGACAACTCGTTGAAACGAGATGACTTGATCTTGTAGACTTTGTAGATCTGGATCACGTTTTGCATAAGCGGATATAGCGATACACAAGAAATACAATATAAACAAAAAACAAAAACATGCCTGAACTTGGTTAGGTAAACTGTATTGTAAACACGGTCATAGCAATTCCATGCTAGCAATCGACACTTATCTATAGGTTGAATAGATAACGAACTAACTCTGATCTGTCATCACTGTTTTGGAAAGTAGGTCACTGATTAACCTCTAACCTACGCTTCGTAGTATAAGACTGATGTGCTGTGGGATGTCTTATCCTTGTCTCGTTTTATTTTTTTAAATGGAAAAATTAAGAACCCTAACAACACTTTCATACAATGTAAATATATATATATATATGTGGGGCAAAGGAGTAATTCCAACAGTGTGTACAAGTTTAGGTTGTCAAATTTTCGGAGCGATTCGCTCCTTTTTCAAGACGCAGTGAAACAGAACAGTTACATGTACATATACATCATATTACAAGAAGATATAATTGATATACTATAATTGAAAATATAGCTATTATATAAAACCAATAGTCCCCTCGGCTAAAGACAGCCGAAGGCAGCAATTAAGCAAGGAGCATAACGTAACAACTCTCTGGGTTCCTCTTTCAGCTTTGTTGTAGATAGTTTGTATGTATCTAATGTTATACAATGCAACGTTAGGCAGTACAATACGATGCCGCTTTGGTAATTCTGATGATGTTTTCTTTAATTTTTCTCTGTGTTTTATAGTGAGACTGTGGATTGGAGCGACTCCGTCTTATATATGTTAGCTATGTTTTATGTGTATATACACCTATTACGATATTAATTGATAGGAACCACACAATGGTGTCATCAATTCACGACAAAGCCAAAAGCATGCGTTACCCTCTCCCCTACTCTCTTCAGTTCACCTAATGTATGAGAGTCTCACAATCGTTACCATTCCATTTATTTTATTTGAAATAAATATGATAATTATATAATACAAAGTCACAGCAACGATATTTTGTATGAGAACGTATGATATTAATGACGCAATAAGTATCATTATTTCCACTTATTTCTTTGATATCAGCGCCCATCAAATTGAGGCACATGATTTTCCCGGTGAAACGATTAGTTGTTGATACATGTAGCACATATCGGGCTTTATAGCTAAGGTGAAACTCTGCCCTGATAGCGTAGTGATCAGAAAAGATAACACTCGTGCCATTGATACTGGGAGTATGCAAATATCCTTTGTATATCCTTGATACCTTCAGAGTATGTAGACATTCTTTGTATTTCCTTGAGATCTTGTGATATGTGGATATCCTTGGTATATACCTGAGATCTTGAGAGTATGTGGATATCCTTGGTATATACATGAGATCCTGAGAGTATGTGGATATCCTTGGTAAATACCTGATATCCTGAGAGTATGTAGATATCCTTGGTATATACATGAAATCGTGAGAGTATGTGGATATCCTTGGTATATACCTGAGATCCTGAGAGTATGTGGATATCCTTGGTAAATACCTGAGATTCTGAGAGTATGTGGATATCCTTGGTATATACCTGAGATCCTGAGAGTATGTGGATATCCCTGGTATATACCTGAGGTCCTGAGAGTATGTGGATATCCTTGGTATATACCTGAGATCCTGAGAGTATGTGGATATCCTTGGTACATTGTATATACCCGAGATCCTGAGAGTATGTGGATATCCTTGGTATATACCTGAGATCCTGAAAGTATGTGGATATCCTTGGTATATACCTGAGATCCTGAGAGTGTGTGGATATCCTTGGTAAATACCTGAAATTCTGTGAGGATGTGGATATCCTTGGTATATACCTGAGATTCTGAGAGGATGTTGATATCCCTGGTGTATCCTTAATATAATAAATATCTAATTAAATATCCACGAGATTCTTATAGCAAGGCTTTCTTATTATTTGGCTTGAGATCATTGAAAAACTCATTTTAAGCCATTGTTATTCGAATCTGCATTCAGTGTAGACGATAATTATGATTTGAATTGAGTACGAATATTTTCCAATCCTGCAATCATATAAATTAACCATGCTGTTAGCTTAAATAGACGGCTGACGACATGAACAGAGAGCAGGCATGTTAGCAGAAAAAATAGATCATAAATATCTATGCACATGAGTATTTGTAAGATTATTATTATGCCTAATCTGACATCATCGATATAACAGAACGGTCTGAATCACTTGGAGGTCGGTGTTTTTTGATATTGACTCGATGCTTCTACTTCATATCGGGCCGATAACTTGGGTTTAGAGGTCAGAGATAAAAATAACTTTCCCAGTCCACTTAATCACTTTACGTGCAGTTTAAAGCACATTTGTATTCACTACAGCTGGAGTGGTATATCCCACTAAATGTCTTGTTGTCCTGTGGTCTTTGGGATGGAGAAACAACAGACAGCCACGTGGTTGTCCGTGTCAGTCCAGTAGTTTTCTAAGTGCAGTCCCCCACAGGAACCTAGCGTCCGTATCTGGTTAATGTTGTATTTACAGCTCACTCCTTTACCGTCGTGTAAATAAAGTCTCTCTCCCTTCGCTAGATCAATGGCAATTCCCAGTCCAGCTGCAAAATACAAAAGAAACAGACTCCCTTTACAGAACAAATTGAGTATATGGCAATTTCTTGCAGCGATATCGGTGCATATTCAAATTTCGTATGAAAATTAAGTTTCTTGCGATCTCGCCAGAATATCGCCATAATGTTTGGCACATACACGGCGATATCACCCCAACTTTGTGCTGATATTGTGGCACATTTTATGCAATGCCCTGAAAGCCTATTTGGCGCACATACGACGGTATAGTCAGACAATTCTAATGCACTTGCGCAATATCGTCCACTGCTAGGGTTCTGGTTATATTGTGGCACAACCACTCTGCATATGTCTTTGCAACATGACATTATTACAACAGTGTTGTTGAGTATACACAGTCATCACATACCTGAACCATTGTACTATGTCTTTAGGCCATGTCATAAATATGTTATCACACACGTTCAATAAAAACCAAAAAGTGCTACGATTGGTCAAACCGTGGGAACATATTACTACGCCAATACAGGTATTCAAACTTTTCTCTCATTTCTATGTGTGTAAGATAGAGCTGCCCAAGGTACGAAATGGGTGTATGAAGTTTCAATCTTACACCCAATGTCACGTGACATGACGTCACAATGGCTCAACAATGTGACGTCACGAATTTGGAATTCTCCTATGCCGCAATGCAGAAAAGGCGACGTGATGAAATTAAAATCTTTTACGATATATTTACTGTATACGTAAGAAAAATGTGATTTATTTTCTGCGCACACATTGTTTGCTAATATGGGGTATGCTAAATCTAACTGACAGATTCGTTTTCGTCTAAAAAGCTCAGGGGAACAATTGATATTTTCAAAATGATGACCAAGCCTCGAGTTTTACCAAATTTGAAAAAAAAACGGTGGAATTTCCCTATCCTACACCTCTGGACGTAAAAGTGTCTTATATTATTTACTTTATCACATGATACATGTATTGCCATGATAAAATAAAATTGAATTTGAAATGGTTCTTTGTCATTTTTGTTGTTCATTGCATTTAAATTTGCATGACATGGACACTCATGTAAGATCCTCTATTTATAAGACATTCACAGATTATATTGATCAATAATTGGTATGGGGGTGGTTTGAGAAATTACATAATAGTCTTGCCGAAAAAAAATACATGTAGAATTTGGTACGGGAATCACCAAGAGACGTGGTGCAAAGCTGTATATCAACAACCCTCCAATCTCCCCAGGTATACTGAAGCTATACACTCTTCTGAATAATATGAATTCAAAACTTGCTAAAAATATAATTTAAAGCGATTAATTCAGATATGGTAACAGATTTATTTAAAAATATATGTTCAAGCAGACGGTTATTTGGTATTTGAATAAGGTAAAATACGTACGTATCTGATGAACCTGGTTTTCTAGGGATTTGCCGAAAACGATGACGTAGCTTGTCTCATCGGGCTTGTCACTGTGAACATACTCTGCCTCTAGAGCTAGAGTGTCCGTGTTTATAGAACAGCCATACTCTCTATTCAGACGCCATACACCATTGAGGTACAAATCCGACGATATACCTAATATATAGAAAAGTAAAGTCTTAAGTGTCAATGTAAGCGAAAGTGTGACTGTAAAGTTAACTGATACAATGTGACATAAATATATAGTTATTATCGTTAGCTTAAGTCATATCGTTATTAGTATTCATAACTAATGTCTCAATTCTTGTTCTGAAACTCCTACCAGGTAGGCCTCTAGTAATTTTCCCAAATATCAGCACAAATCCTAATAAAAGTTAACATCTATAATATTTTTACTAGGCATTTCGTCACCAGTTGCTGTCAGATTACCCTACATTTTTCATATTTTACCTCTCTTTACTACCTGGCCAAGTGCGAGTGACCCCGTCCAAGGAAACACCCAAATTATCTCGCAGTTTTCTCCACACATTGCTGACACGCAGCTTACACAACTACGCTAACAGATTTATTCCCTAATTTTATTTGAATTATTCACTTGAATTTACAGTCTCACAATTATAATATGAATTCTTTGCTATGATTAGTCATCAGCCAGCCGGAGAGTATCCGTTAACATTAGCGTATACTATATAAGTAGTAACTGCTTCGCTGTGCTAGGTATATTGTGATGTAATATTGTTTCATGGTGACTGTGCATCTCTGTGTTATAGGTTGTGATATGCTATTATTTGAGTGTCTGTCTTGATAAAATGGCGAAACGACTTGAAAAATGCCTTTGTTTGCCCTGTCGCTATACATCTTTAGAAATAAATTTCAGTAATAGACAGCATAGATGTTGCAGACATAACTGCGACAAGTGTCGCAGACAAATTGAATGTTGTATATATGTTTTGTTAATATATGCATACCAGTACGTCTGCAGCATCTATGCAGTTTATCGCTTAAACAAATCTCTATTTTTTCTCTTTATGACTTCATTGACTTGCAGAAACAGATATCACCCCCCCCCCCCCCAAAAAAAAAAAAAAGAACAAAAACAGAAACTTAAGGCAGTCGTCCCCCATAATATGTAGCTTTAAATGTGTCACTAACTAACCTTTAGCACTTGTTTGTTAACAATACATTACTTTCACCTGTATTAAACATTCAATCAACTTAAATGATTGACAGTGGTATATACCTGTAGGATCGAGGTATGCGTCTTCTATCTGTTCTTTATCTTGTGTAACATCAAGACTTATGATGAGCCGGCACCTGTCTGTAGATAAATGAAATACATGTATTGCGAAAGGGCAGGAAATCGATTATAAACCCATATCTGACCCTCAGTTGAGCATATAGTCCATGTCAGAGATAAACAGGGAAATACCAGTGTATCAAAATTCAAACAATGCATTAAGGAAACTTGATAAAGGTACATCGGTCATACGACTATGTCTCTAGGTCAAACTCTAGTAATGTCACGTTTTCAAAACGAGAACCAGAACAGTGACGATCCAAACACGAGGAAACGTAAATATTGGTATAGCAAAATAAAGTATGATGCTACCATCAATATAATTCTGGTTGTTTTTTCCCCGTTAGCATTCAACGTATATCATACATGTATCTCGATATTCGTACCAAGCTGTTCAATATCGAATCAACCGCGAGATGTTAACAGTGTAGGTAGAGGAAGCAAGGATGGTTAATACAGTAAAATTGATGATCGAAAAAATCGAAATCGTTACGCCTTGAGTCCTTGATTCAGAGGTGTAAACATTTTCGATATTTCTGAATGTGAGGACTCCGTGACATGTTTTGATTAGCTTGCCGGTAAATTAAGCTTCAAATGCCAACAGGAACAAGTCGACAAGAGATAAATTCTGTTTATTTACATAGGAAGCTTACGTAGATTCGGACATCTTTAGTTCCACTTCCAATTGTTTTTTTCTTCTATAATTTGGCCGTTTCTATATTCTTCACGGGTTTTTTTCGGTAACAAAGGTTGATGTATCATCGAGGTCACAATGTGAGATATATATATATGTCTATAAATAAGTTATTGCAAAATCTTTATCAGGTGTTACACCTGCATAGCATCTCAATTGTCTGACAACATGTCAGTATTTTTATATGTATGTTCCTAATCAACTGTCTTTATACAAATTTTATAAAATTTCACTTGAACTCACCAATTTGCCACTTTTTAAAATATTCGAGACAGGACCAAAATGTCAAATGACCTTCAGATAAAGCAAGAGACAGTCAAATAGTCAATTACCAGTTTTAGTAATTCAGTTACCTGTCATAACATTCGACAATAATGTTAGCCGACGTATTTGGTCCTGATAACTCTGGTTCTGGAATCCACCTCCAAGCCACGTGATTACCTTTCTCCCCGGCATATTACTACCAATGAAAAAAAAAATGTTCATGTTTTAATTGAAATAAGGTCTTTTCTTTCAGGAAAGAGAGGTCGTTTTGATAATATTGATGTTTCAATACAATAATGTATAAACGAGAGATAAATACTATGTATGTTGATTATAACGTGTTCATACTCGACATCTACAAGATGGGCGTTCCTAATGTTTCGTTCCCGCTTTTTGGTTAAGACCGCAAATATCAGCGTGGGATATTTGTCTCGGGGTTGAGGGTTCTCTTGACCAAGAGGGGAACTATTATATCGGCCAAGTCTTAAAATAGGATTATTCATTATTTGAGATATAAACACTAATTGCACGAATTTCAATCAAATTCTCATAAGAAGAGAACGAAGAAGTTCCTTCAGTTTGATATGAGGTATGACAGGGTGTAGAATGGAAAATTGAAAAAATGTCATAGAAACAGTTTTGAGAGGCGAATGTTCACGTTTGGACATAAGCTCATTGGAGATTTACCACATTCACATTCAATTAATGCTACCTCTGGAGTATACAGCGCAATAATACGATTGTAACCCTTATGTAATGGTACTTAGACTGGTAGTTAGAAATTTGATTGTATGGTTGTGCATTTAACAGTGCCAGCGATTAAGCGTTGTTTATAATATGTTTGTGAGGTTTCGGATACATAAAAGGTAGGTCTGCATCATTATGATAAATCTTCACGATTCCCTTTGCAGGGGGGAAATGAAATAGTATATTTATCATGCAAATCGTTAATTGTAACTTGATTAAAAAATACAGACTTGTGAAGGGTCTTCATTTTGGATTTCAAGCTGTGAATTTTTATACAATGATGGATCTGATAGATTTAACTCACTATGAAAGTAAATCCAATTAAGCTTGTAAGCTTGCTCTCATGCTCTCTTGTTACCCATTGAATGGCGTAGATTTTTACAAAATTCGTTAGAATGTTGAACATTCAAGTCGATAGTAGGAGTGTTTGGAATACCTCAAATAGTTCGCTTGGTCCCGACAGTGTTTTTCTGTATTCTTAGTTAATTAACCCGTTGTTGCTCGATTACCCCATATTCCTGTAACTCTGATTGAACACCGACCAATCAAAACCATAGCATTACACTTATCTATTCTTCGAACAGGTAGACACACTCGCGTGTTTAGCCGGGTGCCATCGACATGCGTTGCGGCACAGACTACGGTCTACGCTCAATGTTTTAATCCAGGTGTCGGCCGGACGTTAGATAATTGAAGGATTAACGCAATTATCATTGTTTTGAACTTTATTTTAGTTCACAAGATCATTTCATAACATTGAATGCAACAAGGATTCAGTATCATTATAAGTACCTGTTGTCGGAAGCTGCATTATCATTTTGTGTGCATATTTTTTATTTTCAGGCGATGTTTTGGCACCGACGATTCGGCAAGTGTTTATTCACTGGGTGTATAAAACTATATTTCGGCATGGCAATCTTAAGCGGAAATCACATAGTGGATTCCCGGGCATCTGTAAATACATTCACACTTTCATATGTTTTCACTGTTGTGCAATTTTATATCTTATTAAATGTTGTCATCTTTTTTCAACTCCTTTTTACTTTCATCTACTATCCTCGATATTTACAGTGCTCGTTCTGTCAGTCGTGCAATTCTATTACAAAAAAATACGATATTGGACGAACCTCGGATTTGTCGAATACAATGTATTCCTCGGTAGCAATGAGGTTATTTGACTGCAAGAAGGGATTAATGTTCTCGTGTAGTAAGGTAGTATTTAAGTAGCAGTCCATGTAGGAACCAGACAAAGTAGCTAAAAAGTGATAAACCCTATCTTATCAAATAACAAAAAACTGCAATAAATACTTAAAAAAAGGTCAAAATAATGCATTATTCACAGTTCTTATATTCATCTATCAAACCGTTGCTTTTTGCTAGAGTTTTTTTTGAAGAATTTCGCCTATTTGTTCTATGTAAAATTACACATATTTTCCATATTTTTTTTCTTAAGGCTAGAAAAAATATATGATAATTTATATATAGATGGAAAGACAATGGTTATATCTATTAAATAAAACAAAAAAATGTTTGGGATTTTTTGAATTGACAATAAAAAACCGTTTGGAAATATATTTGAAATTGCCATGTTATTATCTCCCTTGACGGAAACCTTCAGCAAAAGAAACTAAGAATACTATATTGGAGGGAAATGTAAACAATGGCAGACGCTCCATGGCAGAGAGAAACTGCAGCATTTCAATCTTTTCGAAAAGTAAATGTGTTTTTTCAAATTATTTACCATCAGAATATGGTCTAATCGCAATAAGCAGCTGCAACATTAATATCAACAGCCATTTACAATCCCTACAACTTTCAAAAATCTGCATTCCATCAGAAGGCCATTTTTTCCCCCGTCTTGTTATTTTCATTGTGTTTCGTGATTATATCAGATATCCACACCATCGGGGCACACTTGGAATAAGATGGAGAAGGAGTGTTGCATGCAGTCATCCTAACCACAAAGGGAAAACCAAGCCAGACAGAGGTGTCACCCCAATTGTCAGCCGGCATCTGTTGATCTCCACTGGACAACTTGTGCCAGTTGGTTCAGGTAAGGACTCTATGTACAATATAAGCCTGTGGTGTACATGTTCAAACTGTTTCTATTATTATAATCTAACAAGATTTTTCACATTTTTGATATTCAAGAAAAAAGAAAAAAAAGTAGAATTTGCTGTTTTCCATTTCTGCGAAAATTCATGTGAAAAATCATGCTATCAGCTGATGATTTTCTATGTATAATTTTATATTAACAAGATATTCAGAAGGTGTATTCAGTTTTAAAGATGTAGAATTTTATTTGTTGTTATTTATTTGTTATTATTGATTAAATTGTTTCAGAAATTTGCCCCCTTTTTTGAAAAAACATCGCCCATTGCCATTTTAAAAATTATATGAAAAATAGTATGTCCTTTTCAATGGTGGGTCAGTTACATGTATCATCCTCAATATCAGGCCTAAGCTACATCTGAACCACTTCTGGTTGATATAGGAGTCCAACAGATATTGAAAAGACCTACACACATTAATATTTATCTAAAATTTACAATTGCATTAATTTGATTTTTTTTTTAATTTAGGAATATGTCGGATGTGAGACAGGTTTGAAGCAGAACATGGGAACATAAGATTTTCTGACAACGTGAAGTCTTACTTGAGCAACATCTTTGAAGAAGGCAGTGGAAGGCAGTGGAAGGAAAGCTAATCCGTCTATTGTTGTCAGGAATATGAGAGTGACAAGGGATGATAATTGCAACAATAGGTTCACCCCTAAAGAATATTTGGAACTAGGACAGATAGCATCCTTTTTCCCCCGATTGGCCGTTATGCAGAGATGTCAAACACCAATTGTTGATGTTGACCAAGATCTTGATGCTGTTCTTCTGGATTTTAACAAGGCTGAAGCTGTTGAACAATTATTGTGAATAACTTTTTTAATCAAGTAGTTTAGGCCCCTTATTTCACTGTGCAATATTTTTGCTGTTAATTATTTTTGGTTTGATAACATGCATGAAAGGCCATGATAAATCAAAGTTTGACCTTTTTCTGAATTACTTGTCTATGAAGCAAAACTAGTTACCTTCCTTATATAATTATTGTTAATTTATAAAAAAAATCTTACCATTATATATGCATAAAGGTGCAATATGTCATGAGTTATCTAATGAAACAAACTCTTATTTTTTTCTTACTTCTCACATGCACAGAACAAATTCATAGTCATAATGAATAAGAGATAATGCACTTTTAAATCACAGCAAATATGGGCACTCTGTCTTGAAAACAGTAACTGTTTTCTTTCAAAAATTGCAGCTGATTTTAAAGAAAACAAATCTATAATGAACTTTTTTTTGGCCCCAACTACAATAGTGCGTTTGTTTGTCCGTCCGTTTGTTCGTTGTCCATCCGTTTCAAATCAAGTTTAATTTTTTGGTCAATGTAGTTTTTGATGAAGTTGAAAGCAATTCAATGTTAAACTTAGTACACATGTTCTATGATGTGATCTTTCCAAATATTATGTCAAATAAGGGTTTTGACCCCAATTTCATGGTTCAATGCTATAGTGCAAGTCAGGCGCATCAGTGTTCTGTGGACCCATTTTCTTGTTATCTATGTTTTTAGTTAAAGCAAGTCCGTTTTAACTTTGATTATAAAGAAAAACAAGAGGCCAACCTAGAAATGTTAGTAAAATTGAATTTGGAATAGCTAGATGTTGCTGGTAGTGTACATGTATTACATGGTTAGTCAGGGGTTATATTTATATGCAATTGGACAAAATCCTGTTATTCCTACAGAAGAAGAATTTTCAAGAATTTGCTAAATTCCCTCTATTGGGCCCCACCTCTCAGGCCCCAGGGGGGGGGGGGGGGGGGGGGGGGGGCAGACACATCATTTACACAAAAGTGATGTCCCTACCCAACAGGATACTAACTGTTAAAATTTGGTCAAAATAGCTTCATCCTAACGGAAGTAAAAAGGATATTAAAGCTATTTCTCTATATCCCTTATTTTGATCTCTATGGTAGAAGAAGCATTTTAAAGGTTTTACCCCTATTTCCCCTATTCGACCCCGCCCGTTTGCCTCCAAGGGGGCCACACCCACTGTTTATACAAAATTGAGTTCCCTTTGCCCACCTATGCTCCCGACTAAATAAGGATAAAATCCTTTAATCCCTACAGTAGAAGAATGATTTTAAAGGTTTTACCTCTATTTCTATTATTTGGCCCTGCACCTCTGCCCCCAAGGGGGCCACACCCACTGTTTATACAAAATTGAGTCCCCTTGGCCGAAAGATGCTCGAGTCTAAATTAGAATGAAATCCCTTAATCCCTATGGTAGAAGAAGGATTGTGAAGGTTTTACCTCTATTTCCATTGTTTGGCACCGCCCCTCTGTCCCCAGGGGGGCCACACCCTCCGTTTATACAAAATTTCGACTCCTTGGCCAAAGTAGCTCCAGACTCATTTAGGACAAAATCCCTTAATCCCTATGGAAGAAGAAGGATTTTAAAGGTTTTACCTCTATTTCTATTATTTGGCCCCGCCCCTCTGCCCACAAGGGGCTACACCCACCGTTTATACAAAATTGTGTTCCCTTGGCCCAAGAATGCTCCAGACTAAGTTAGAATAAAATCCCTTAATCCCTAATGTAGAAGAAGGATTGTAAAGGTTTTACCTCTATTTCCATTGTTTGGCACCGCCCCTCTGTCCCCAGGGGGGCCACACCCTCCGTTTATACAAAATTTCGACTCCTTGACCTAAGGATGCTCCAGACCAAATTAGTCAAAATCTACTGAGCCGTTCAGGACTAGAAGTGTTTTAAAGGAAAAGTTGACGGACGGACGCCGAACCGACGACGGACGCTGCGGTATGGCATAAGCTCACCATGGTCCTTCGGACCAGGTGAGATAAAAATGTGTGCCACTGGGGAAATATCAAGTGACTGGAATGGAAAAAAACTGGTTTCAGGAAGGGAAAATGGTCGCCTGACTCAAGATGTAAATTACATACTGTTATAATAACAAAAAGGTCAATTTGAAATATTCTGACATAGTTGAAATGTATAGGCATGTTTTCTGCTTAAACTTAGATATGATTTATTATGCCTTTAATAAAGTTGGTACCTAGTTATTAGGGTGACCTGAAGTAGTTTAAAGAAATACAAAATTTAGTTTAACAAAGAAGGGCATTAGATTAAAGTATTTTATATATATATAACATTTAATAAATCTAAAGATATGCGGAATTGGCGAGTTTCAAAGTTTTTCTAACTGCTTTTCTTTTTTTATGCCCTATGTTTGGTTGGTTCATTTAAATTAGCAGTATTTGAATTTGTGTTCATGCATGTAACTAATCCAATTGAGTTATCGGCATTGTGTGGAAAATCTATTTGTATATTTACATGTATGTACAAATGAGAAAATATACATATATTTTATCACAAATAAATGTTTTAAAACTGGATGACTACTATTAAGTTTTACTATCTTATTAAAATTCAGGTCATCATTAAACTGTTTGCTGATTATGAAGTGTTCCAAATAAAAGGTAATATTTGAATTTACATGCAGTGCGTCTGTACGTCCCAAAACCGTGCTCTTACTTTAGTTTGCCTCAACAAAATATTATAAAACTTATACACAATGCTTATTACCACAAAACACAGATCAACTTTGAAATTGGGTGGCGTCACGTTTACCGTTCTTGAGTTAAGCCCCTTTATTAATGGAAAAAATGCTAAATCTGTCGTTTCCGTTCTCTAACTTTAGTTTGCCACAACCAAATGTTATGAAACTTATTCACAATGCTTATTACCACAAAACACATATATAGGTGGCGCCACTTAACCGTTCATGAGTTTTCCCACTTTATAACGTTATAGGCAAGCGGGGGCATCCGTGTCGCATGGACACATTCTCCGTTTATGTTCTTTTGTGTACAGGCTTTTGTGTCGGGTCATGTTGGCAGATGAAAGTCATTAGAAAGTCATTGGATTGCAAATATCAAAAACCTATACAAAATGAGATTTCTGCTGGAAAAGTGTCATAACAAAAAACAATAATTTGACCTTCAGGTCAAAGGTGAAGGTTATATACAGCTGCAAGCCATGTTAAAAAAAATGTTGAGTTTATGGTAATTAACCATCATGATAAATATGATAAGAATAGTTGAAAAGATGTGAAAAATCTGTCAAAAAAGGCTTGCAAAACTCTAAAAAATCAATAATAATTTGACCTTCAGGTAAAAGGTCAAGGTCATGATATAAAGAAAAGTGGGAAAATCACAGTTCTGATATGCAACCATGCATGCATTAATTTACCATAAATTAAAAGAATTATTTGGAGAAAAAATATGCTTTCAATGTGATTTTTATGTTTTTAGGACATTTTTGACATCGACCTTTGACCTTTGACCTTTTAAAATCCCATTTTATTTAATGAAAAACTTCAGGGATAAGGTTGGTCATTGGTGCTATATAGGTGTTTAAGATGTACTGGTCTGGCTTTTTTTCAAATTTTAATCTAAAAAATGAAAAATTTAGGTATTGTTACCTTTTATAAAAATTCCTTTAAGTATTATCTCAAAACAGCCAAGTAATATATGACTACATTAACACAAATCCAAAATTGATGTCCAAATTTATTAGAGGGAAGTAAACCGTCTGTAAAAAAATATATATCTTATAACTGCATCTTCTGCAAGATTTAAAATTCTTTTATTGAAATTGGAACATTTTCAGATGAAATTTTGAGCAAATTGTTTCTGTTGCTAGGCAAAGTTCAATTAGCGAGTTTCCCTAGCAACCGTTGCTTTACAGATTTTTTGTTTAAAATTTATGGTGCTTTTTTATTATCTAAGGAACATTCTCTGAAAAATTCATAAACTTCTTACTACCTTGGTATATCACCTTTTGTCTGTTTTTTACATGGACTGCTACTTAAGCTACAAAGGACATGTGGAGTCGTATATTACTTAACTATTCATATCAATTATATTGTATGCATATTCACCTTTCAAAACAATCTGAGCTACTGATGCGTACATAATATATTAGAATTTACGTTTTAGATAATTCATATGTAATACAAATATTTTAAAGAAACATCAAAATACCAAACATTTGGTTGGTTTCCAATTTACACAAGTCACTGTATTACCTCAGTCGCTGTATCCCCACGTCATAATCTCCCGGGATGCTGGCAATTGATAACCTGCTTCCATAATTCTTAGACAATTGCTGGGATGTTTCGGCTAAAAAATCTTAAAGCACAATAGCATTTAAAAACATTTTCTCTGTCAGTTGAAATAATGCTTTAAAAGTGGGCATTGTTATTTTCACGAATTTTTTTTCAACAGTTCGTTCGACGGTAGTTCTGATTGTGCAAATGGTTAGAGCGATGGTATGATAATGATATTGTCCCGCAAGGTCTAGATTTCTTTTCAGAAATGATTTATCAAAGCTATAGTTATGTTGAAAAAAACAATTCCTAATGCGTGTTTTCCTTTTCCCTTATTAATACCCTTAATAACGGACCATGTGTCCTATATCGAGGATTGTCCATATCAATATTACAAACTGAGACTTTTATTGTATTTCACGTAATTATTCATTAGATTGTATTTGAATTTATAATAACCACTTACGATATTGATAAAACACACACAATTCCAAATACATGCAACATAAATAAGCAACGACTGCTTCTGTAGTATTCATTGACGCTTAGCTTAACCGAAAGTTGCTTTAGTTCCGCCCTTGTCACTTTGCAAAGGGAGGTAACTCAACAACTTTGTGTTATAAGGTATACTGGAGAAACTTTTCCAATGAATACAGCTTTTGGCAGTGGAATGTTGTTTCTAAGAACACTTTCCTATTAAGTTAGTGTGTGATATGTACCCCCTAAAATATCAACCGGGGTGCTTTTAACACGGCTGTGTCTCACTATCACTATCACTATCACTATCAAACGGAAGATAACTCAATGAAGTTATGCTGAAAGATCTACCAACATACTGGACAAATAGTTACAATAAATACTTTAGCAGAACAGAGATTCTTAAAAAAAACTCCTTTACATCCAGTTTTTTATATTTACCTTTTGATATATCCACTGGGGTGTATTTAACACGGTCGTGTCTCTGAAGCAGGGTGTCGATAAATAGTCGAGTTTTCTCACTATTCCCACTGCCCATGTCTACAAGATCAGGAACATCAGATCCTTCGGGTAATATTTGCTGTTGGGTTGAAAAAGTAGCCTCTTTTAATTCTAGATTTACATAAGATTCACATGGCAATAGGTTTAGCTCCATATAAAAATAAAAATTCATTAGTAAAGAATATTAATATTTATCACATGAATACGCAGTATCTCACATAACCTTTTACTTCATGTATATATGTATATATTATTTGTATGTATGTACAACATGTAGATGGATACTTCCCTTAATAGTATAAGCCCGTCAAAGGATGTGATCCTCAAACATATACTTTTGTCAAACCCATTTAACCTACCAAATGCATTTCCACATGATTACGCTTTGGTAATTATGATGTAAATGTAGAATATGTATACCATTGGTCACAACAACAACAAAAAAACGAAAAATTTAAAAAAATAAAAAAATAAAATATAAAAAAAAAAATGTGGAAGGTCGATAGAAACAAATTTAAATGAAGCATGTCTTCCGTTTTGAATTAATTAATGTCTATTTCCTATATAATCTGCATTTCAACATCGTGAACCTAATGATTAAAAGAACGGTAATATATCAATTAGTCAATATGATCTTAGTTTATCTTTCTCAGCATTATATATGATTGCATTATAAAGCCATGCAATTATTGTTAGTGAACATTCTAACGTCACCACTGTCCTTTTTAGAGAAACCTTACTAATTTCGCAGACTAAAATGTTGTCAGCTGCCTTCGTACGATGGCGGTTCGTGCTATAAAATGTAACAATACAATGCCACCATATTGAATTATGAATAAAACCTCATTTCAACAATGTTTCAACTGTACGTTTTGACTACATTTCGGGAAATGTAATTATGGACATGTGATTATAAGGTGATTGTCACGTAAATCTACCATAATATTCGACTCTTATCTTCAGAGACAGATTTTGCATTAAAACTGGGGAAACTTCCTCTTATAACTACATTTCGGGAAATGTAATTATGGACATGTGATTGTAAGGTGATTGTCACGTAAATCTACCATAATATTTGACTCTTATCTTCAGAGACAGATTTTGCATTAAAACTGGGAAAACTTCCTCTTATATCACTATCATGGCCTTCAATAAAAATGGTGTTTGACATTTTCCCCCATAATAGTTATTTTATTGTGAAAATTCAAACTACAAACACTCTGTTTTCTGACAACGAGTTAAATCTCAATAAAAGCATAACTAATCAAATATGCTGCATTTGTACCACAAAACGGCTAAACTTTCCCAATAAAAGACAGACCTGTTTCATAACTGACGTGTATATTCGTGTTGTTTGTAAATTACTGATGTATTCAAAATATACTTCTGAGTTGCAACCCATCTTCGTGAGTCCATAGCATACAGTTGTTGATCATATCCATAAGTGAATATATATGTGAAATAACTAGCATGTAGCCATTACAACAGAATCATAATAGATACATTATCAATCCTGACTATGGCTATCTCTTAGTCGTGGTTCACCTTAATGTTGATATCTTTTCATGGTATTTTACCTTTATATGACGTTCCAGAATGGATATTTCTGACTTGTAAAAGTAGTAGTAGGTGTTTTCAGAGAGACATATGTCGTTGTAGACGGAGCCTGCCTTGTCGTAGCGGTACCAAACCGGAAGATACTTTGGGGTTGACGTCAGACCCGCACGCAACGCAACTGCAGTATCCATAACACCAGTGTAATGTACCTGTAAAGAATAAATGCCTGAAATTTGTCAAAAACCCTCGATGTTGCATTGTACCGTATCACCTTAACACAGAGTAGTATTAGTCCAACTGAACGATAATTCGTGAAAGGTATATGTTATATGTAATATAATAATATGCATGACCCTTTAGATACCGCAATAGTAACATATGGTGTTCATATTTAAGTTACTAAATCGATCCCAACTTACACATTAAATATCATCTTTCCGTGCTAAGAGTATTTGTTCTTTGATAACGATTTCCACTTTAGTTCATAACAAGGTTTGGAGGATGTTCAAATAAAGTTTTCAAAGATTTATTTTGAAAAAATTTGAAAAAAGTGGTAATGAAAAGCAATTTGAAATAATAAATAGTGATTCCAAAAGATACAACTCAACTGAGAAATTAATTAAACTTATTGAATCAATGTATCAAACTAATGGACACGCATGTCAAAAGTGTTCAGGAACATATGTAGAAATACATCGAAAAGGGAAATTGGCCTGTAAAAGCATTTAAAACATTACACAATTACATATTTTTGTCTCAAAGAATGATATTTACAACCTTTACCTTGTGAACCGTGTCAGATGCAATTCAAACAACAATGCTACGGCTAAGCTAAAAAACATGATTGGCAATATAATTGAATTCCTTGTCCATTACCAATTTGATGAGAGAACTAACAAGAGGACAAACATAATTATTAGCTGCTTTATGGTGAAGTGTAATTCATTGTGACACTCCGTATCTATTACCATGTTGTAAAGGTGGAATTACATGGGTTCATCTCTAAATGTATTCTGAAAAAAATCTAAAATAATTATAAACAGTACTGCTTTTGACACAGGGTCATTGAGTGCAGTCTCCTATGTAATCCTTACCACCACCCTGCACCACCCTAACCGGGTGGTACCGTAATGATGACGTCATGATAATTCCTACACATGGTTTATATTTAGATGTCTACCACAACTGGTTGTTCTGGAACCTTCTAGCACAAAATACAATAACAACACAAATACAAATATATGTACAACCATTTAGTGTCTCTGTCGATAGAACAGACACGGGTCGGAGAGCCACCCAACGTCCATTCTTACAACGAATATCCACACATAGCTCTCGCTGTTTGTTTATGTCTGACTCCGCTGTATAAAAAACATACAGACTAAGTCCCACACTTTGCATGTTAACCGAACATTTTCCACGCATACAAAACTAAACTGTATTATAGCATTTCCATATAAGTAGTAGTTTACCGTTTTACTGTCCCGGTATGTTTCCTTAACACAACGATAGCCCATCGTGTATTTTGTTTGTGTTTGCTCACTAACCAGTGGCGGATCCAGACACCTATCTGGCGGGGTTCCAAATTTCCTGGGGGGGGGGGGTTCCATGTGGGGAAAAATTGAGGAAAGTGGTGAAAATACATGATTTTTAAAGAAAATTCTCAGGGTGGGGGGTTTCCTGTAGCCCCCAAAAAAAACTCTGGATCCGCCACTGCTAACGTTTTCCTTGGCAGTAACCCAAACACCACGAAGTACCCTGGTAGTTTCTCTTACAGTCATGTATCCCCTTAATGTATTTCACTAGGAATGTTGCTCCATTCAGAAATAGCATTTTGGAGAAGATTATTATACCATTATGTATATATATAGGTATATACCTGCACACCTGTGTACCTTATCCAGATAAAGGGCACACATGGATACGCTATAATCAGTCGTCATTGTGTTTGAGGATATGTGTCAATCTTGCAGTAAGAATACCAGCCAATCATATTGAAATGGAGGATCTAAAAAGATGATTAGCGTATGTTCTTTGTTTGTATGTTTATGGAGTTGCAAATGATTGTGTTTGATTGGTTTTCACCAAAAATAGCTGAACAGGATCACCTAGATTTGTTCTCTCATAACGTGTTGCTTCTATTATGATATCGTATAACCTCAATCCAAACAATGCGTCAACTCCACTCAACAAAACAAATTACACAGCTGCATAAGCATGTTTATAGTGTTTTTTCGGATTTGGTTTGATATGTATAATGTCTTACGTCATTAGTACAGCTATGTGTGTGGAGTTTCGGTTATTGTCTCCCCTTGGATCAAGTTCAGTCCGAGTTCAGTTTTTGGAACAAACTTGTTTGAATCGATCAGTTCAGTAAAAGTTGAATATCAAGTTGTTAAAACAATCTTGCAACGCACTTCAAACGTGTACAAAACTAACGAACGTATACAGAATGTGCACAGTCAATAACATACTGGCAGTATATACCTGCGGTGTATAATTTGCAAATGCCGGCACCAGTTGCAATATTGTTAAGCACATTTAACACATGATACACATAAAAACATGACGGCATTGTGTATGGTTATAAGCGGACCAGCATCAAACAATCTACTTAGTAATTGACCTAGTGTAACAAAATTGCATTAAAAACTAGCGTTTATACACCCGTTAGGACAGCACAAATTAGTACGTGATATCATTCATCTTTCCATCAGTCCGATAACCACAACTATTCATAGTTAAACATGTATATCGGACGCAATGTTATTATGATCCGATATCACCTTACAACGTAGTTGCTCTTTACACACTTAAAACATTATAAACTGAAATAATACATCTATAATCAAACAGCTTCAAAATGAGATATAGGTATAACAGTACAATCAATGTAATGTACGGTGTCGCAGAGTTGATCGCAGTAGTATAGAAATCCGAAAATTCACTCCCTGAACTGAAATGATCCAACATTCTTCTAAGAATAGCATAAAATGAAAAATGAGTATGCCCCCNCCCCCCCCCCCCCCCCCCCCTCCATAATATTTGTGTTTTTTTTGTTGTGTTGCATGGAGAAAATTCCATGAAGGCTGTCGATTTAAAACTAAGTCGAAAATAGCAGTAAACTGAATAAATTTCTACTTTTCTTCTGTTGTTATTGTTCAGGAGAATAAACAAGAACATATGTCAATACAGAAAAAAACACTCCTTTAACGCTATCATGTTACTGTTGCTAAGGAATATTCGTAAACGTTACTTTGTCACGACAGGGGACTGATAAACGTTCTTTTGTCCAACCACCTCTATACAAAAATGCAAAGGAATGAAGTGACGAAAATGTGTGGAACAAGTACCTTCAGCTTAACGCTATTATAAAACAAACGTGTACGAGTTAAACATTTCTTTCGTAATATGGAAATATCGTGTCCTAATAAGATGGTAAATTTAATCTGCAAATGTGATCCCTGTCACTCTGGTAAAAAAACAACTTCTTCCAACTAATTAGTTTGGCTTGGGGAATTTTTACAACAGACGTGTCAGGTGAGATCCAACGGAGATATTGAAATATCAATTACCACGGTCACATACAACTGTACCTGTCGCATTGAGCCACGAAAAAGACTATAACGGTTATATCATTGTTTACCTGTTCGCTTAACTGTAGTCACTCACGTGTGCGTCTACACACTCTGACATACCCTATACGCTACGTTCCATATACAATTTTTTTTTAAATGACCCCTGTATGTTTGCTTGTCTGGGTGGGTCTCTGTCTCCACGCTCCGTGCTAGGTCTACCCCAAAATGAGAAAGGTTCATTAGTAGCACGATGGTACTATTTATATAATAATCCCAATGTTTATGTTAATGACCGACTGATCTGAGTATTATTATTTCTTTATGTCCTCCAAAATTGAAGAGTTACAAAAATGTACAGTGTAGTCAAGATACAAATCAAATATTATTAATTGATTTACTTAAATGCACATTTTTTTTAGTCTGCGATTTTGGTCAGTTTTAGCGGACTAATCTGAGTACATCTTGACAAAATTAGATGATCTGACCACACGGGCACATTGTACAAGGTTTACTTGCCGAAATATACGCAATTTAAATTCCGATCCAAGTCGTCTGGTATCTTCCAGCCGCCATGTTCTGTTCTCCTTCGATTGGTTTGCGGAGCTATAAGTTGGGTTCGCCGTTTTACAGAAACGGGCAGAAACTGGCAGGAATGGGCATGGGCAGAAACGGGCAGGAATGGGCAGAAACAGGCAGAAACGGGCAGAAATATACTAATAATTATAAACATTAATGAATATTATAAAAACAGAAAAATTATACTTACGGACGAAGATATATTATAAAAAGAAAAATTCTCAACAACGAGTCTTTAGTACTTTCATCTCTTCTAGGAGATTCTTCAGACTGTTTATATATATTGAATATATATATATTTAATTATCATTATCGGGTATAAGATATATTTGATAAAAGGATTGCAATTACATGATCGGTGCAGAATCGGACTAAGTTATAAATATACATGTATGTCGTTATTACTTATGAGACCTATAGTATTATATATTTTTTATCGGGTATAATTTATATTTGATAAAAGGATTGCAATTACATGATCGGTGCAGAATCGGACTAAGTTATAAATATACATTTATGTCGTTATTACTTATGAGACCTATAGTATTATATATTTTTTATCTGGTATAAGATATATTTTATAAAAGAATTGCAACGAATTAAGAGTATTGTTTTGATATGGATCGGGCAGAAACAGGCGAAGATTTACAGGAACGGACAGAAACGGGGCAAGATAGGACTTATTTATGTATATTTATTGTATATATTTAATTAGCCTTATCGGGTATAAGGTATATTTGATAACAAAAAATGCAATACCATGATCGGGGCAGAACCGGACTAGATTATTAGCTCACCTGGCACGAAGTACCAAGTGTGCTTATGCCGTGGCGCGGCGTCCGTCGTCCGTCGTCAATATTTTACTTTAAACAACTTCTTCTCAATAACCAAAAATGCATAGGGTGATGATATTTGGCCTGTAGCATGCTGGGATCAAGGACTACTATGTTTGTTAAAGTGAATGACTTTGACTGATATTCAAGGTCACAGGGGTCAAATATGTTAAAAACTTGTAAATATCTTCTTCTCGATAACCAAAACGCCCAGGGTGATGATATTTGGCCAGTAGCATGCTTGGGTGAAGGACTACCAAGTTTGCTCAAAGGAATGACCTCCATCTATATTCAAGGTCACAGGGGTTAAATATGTGAAAAACTATAAACAACTCCTTCTCAATCACCAAAATGCCAAGGTTGATGATATTTGGCCAGTAGCATGCTGATATGAAGGGCTACAAAGTTTGTTCAAATGAATGACATTCACCCATATTCAAGGTCACAGGGGTCAAATATGTTAAAAACTTTAAACAACATCTTCACAATAACCAAAATGCCCAGGGTGATGATATTTGGCCAGTAGCATGCTGAGATGAAGTGCTACAAAGTTTGTTCAAATGAATGACCTTCATCGATATTCAAGTGCTGAGATGAAGGGCTATAAAGTTTGTTCAAATGAATGACCTTCACCCATATTCAAGGTCATAGGAGTCAAATATGTTAAAAACTTTAAACAACTTCTTCTCAATAACCAAAAATGACCAGTGTGGTGATATTTAGTCAGTAGCATACTAGTATCAAGGGCTACCAAGTTTGTATAAATGTATGACCTTGAATCATATTCAAGGTCACAAGGAGCAAATATGTTCAAAATACAAAACAAATAAACAACTTGTTCTGAATATTTAGTCAGTAGCATGCTGGGATCAAGGACTACTATGTTTGTTAAAGTGAATGACTTTGACTGATATTCAAGGTCACAGGGGTCAAATTTGTTTAAAATCTTTAAACGACCTCTTCTGAATAACCATGGGTCCCAGGATGTTGATACTTTACAAGTTGCATCCTGAGATGAAAGGTTCTAAATTGTGTTCAACATAATGACTTTGTTCGACTTTCAATCAGAGGGGTGAAATGTTTAAAAAAAAATAACAGGTTCTTTAGAATGAATTTTAATCATAAATACTGATATTTTATTTTGCCTGTAGCTTTATTTTGGATCACTTTTAAGGTTACCACATGTGAGATTTATACCAGGTGAGCGATGCAGACCCATTGGGCCTCTTGTATATATATATATTCATATTAATATATCTTTTTTTATCGGGTATAAGATATGTATGTTAGATATATTGAAGTATCATTATCGGGTATAAGATATATTTGATAAAAGGATTGCAGCGAATTAAGAGTATTGTATTGATATGGATCGGGCATGAACGGGCGACGATTTACAGAAACGTACAGAAACGGGGCAGGATAG